GATTCGAGTCTCTCGTTCAGAGACTGGATACGAAATGAGGATCTCTCTATGAGCGACTCGAGTCTCTCGTTCAGAGACGCTAAACAGTTTCTTTGACAGTCTCTCAACAGTTTCTCTCAGCGACACCAGAGTCAGCGACACCAGAGAGACTCGATGAGAGACGGAGACTCGAGTCTCGCTTTCAGAGACTCTGAGAGACTGAACATTTTTATCTCCGGCTTGTACCGGTTGATATTTTATAAATAAATTGCTGCTATTCAGACTTATTTTTCCTTAGGGTGAAGCAATGACATGAATTATTTAAGTATAAACTCAAACTACGTACGCCATTTGTCATAAAATATGTCACAAGCCTAAGCAGTGCATAAATAAGACGAATGTATGGCTCGTGTTCTACCGTTTCTCTACTGTTACTGTTGAATTTTTGTGTTTATTTTTATACCTTTGTCACAATAATCATTTCCGTACGGATCAATTTCCATTTTTTAGTCAAAAATGAAATTTAGAAATATGAGAAGTAAAGAAAATTGCGGTTAACCAACCCACACAGCGAAGTTGGAAAAATGCTTTAAGAAGCAGTTTTCCGGTATTGATGGAACAACCAGCTGTCCCAATTTTTTAGAGAACGAACTGAGAAGAATATTTACAGATCAATCAATCAATGTTAGTGTCGGATAGTTATTTACACCTGTATCTTTCTTATGGTTATAACAAATCATACAGTTTCAAAATATATTGATACAAGGCTTCAGAAATTTTCTACATAAGGTATATGTTACGATGTTAACGAATTTCAATTTTAGTTTTCAAACCAGATAATATAATAAGTTATAAAACAAAACATCTAACGAGTTTAGCTCATTAATACATTAAATTAGTATCATAAAACATTCAAATATTATACTAGAAAGGCATTTTGAATTGCTAGAAATATCATTAACTAAATAGAGTGAATTTAACAGACTCATTAATCGATGTTATAGCCACCAGTCATTTCATTACTGTTAGCTACAATACTGTATAACACATGTAATAGAAAGATATTAATACCTAAAAGGTATCAGTTACCACAATAACAGCGACAGTTTTATTATTTGAGTAGGTTGAATTCGTTTAATTTGATTATTTATTTTTTGCAATTTTAAATCTAAAATATAACAACAAAGTAACAGTCTAAGAGGAGATTTCAACCTCATCCGTCTGTAAACAAATTTTGCACTAACATGATTGAGAAATAGGGGGCGAGGGGTTTCGTTTCTATGTAGGCATACAGCCAACTAATAGGGATAGGGGAATTAAAATACGTCATCAATAATTTACAGAAATGTAGACTGCATTCCGAAATAATGATAACCAACTAAGATATTTCATGTTCTTTTTGTAATAATTTTTGTTAATTTTGCTCTTGCCTGCCACCCCTTTTGTTCTAATTCACGTGTCCGTCCTTCGGGAATTTCATTAAGTCTACGCTACGTGCAAAGGGGCAGTCCACAAGAGCCCTGTAAGAGGGCCTTTATATTACGTTAACAAAACAGATGATTGAATTTACCACAATTACTTTTAATTTTATTAAAACATTGTCAATACTTACAACAAATGATTCTCTTCGTCCCATGCGAGTATTTTCGTTAATTCGAAAGCACCATGTGTTAATGGAATGACGTTGTGGGAATGTATTTGACAAGCGTGCATGAAGTTGCCGTTATCACCGTCTCTGACCGGAAGTCGCATTAGGGCCTGGGCACCGTTGGCCGAAAATACGGGATGAAAAATTGGTTCCGTCCATCCGCACGTTTCTTTTTCTGTGTGAAACTGAAACAAATAACCTTACCTCACTACAAACGATGCGATGTTCGAAATAATACGTATAGTTGGGACGCTCAAAGTTGGCATAGTCACCAATAAAACTGTCGCATTTACTTTCTTACTTTTACAAACACACAAACAAAAATAATTATCAAACATTATTGTTAAATCAACTTAATTTCATTCCACTACAGATTACCTCAAGTTAATGAGGTAAAACTGTTTGTTGCTACTGTTATTGCTTCGTCGGGAATCGAACCAGAAGTATTAATAAAAGAAGTGGGTACTTAATACAATAGGTTAATATCGAATTCGTTTGTGTTTAAGTTTCGTCCATAAATTCATCCTATTGTCTTTCAAAGTCTTTCAGCGCATCTGAGAGCGTCTCTCACAGTCTTTCACAGTCTCTCAGTTATTGCCTAGGTGTTTTTATGGATCTCTCACAGTCTCACGATAAAATTGTTAATTCAGAGATTCGAGTCTCTCACAGAGAGACTGAATGAATAAAACTGAAAAATTGAGAGACTTGAGTCTCTCGTAGAAAGACTGGGATCTCTAACTTAGAAAAATTTATCCATGTCTATCGAGACACCACTTATTGAGAGATTCGAGTCTCTTGTTCAGAGACAGTCTCTCTCATCGATACCCAGAGAGACTAGATGAGAGACGGAGACTCGAATCTCGCTTTCAGAGACTTTGAGGGATTGAACATTTTTATCTCGGGGAGCATAGCAAAAGTCTCTTTCGCTCTTTATCATCGATGGAGTATCAAGTCTCTCCTCTTAAATGGTGGACCTGGTTGAATTTTTAACCATTTTAAGTAAACTAATTTTTTTCCTAAGCATCCTAAGGCTGCTCCCCTTTGAATAGGGCTCTGTGTGAATCGAACGACCAAAGCGAAGAGTATAATATGGCTGCAATATACGAGGGCGGTTCAATAAGTACCCGTGTTTGAAGACGGAGGACGTTCCTGAGGGAAATTGGTGTTGTCATCGTGTGCTGCCATTTATCAAACCACGCCAAAACGAAATTCAGACTGATTGCTAGGTTAGTTTGGATTTGGCAGCCATTCGATTGAGACGTGTTTCGTTATTTTCACTAAGATGGAAAGAGCAGTATCGTTCGGTAACTCGCTTTTTGTTTTTGGATGGGAAAAAATGCGAGGAGATGAAAACAAAGTTGGATACTGTTTATGGAGACATT